GAGTGTGAAATCCTTGTGAGAAGAAAACAGACAGAGAGAAAGAGGACTGATTACGTTGGTGATGCAAGCAAAAATGGGCAACTGTAGCAATTAAGAAACAAAGAAAACAAAGCATTATCTGGTAAAGAAGAAATATATTTGCAAAATATTCAGAGTATTATTGCAAATTTCGATGAATTACACTATTTTGCCATGAGTCATAAACCAGCTGTGGTTTGCTTAACAGAGACACATTTAACAGAAGAGATACAGGACTTCGAAATTAAATTGGACGACTACAACATTTGTAGAACTGATTCTGTAAGCAGGGCCACTGGTGGTGTATTGACTTACATCCGCAAAGATATAAAGTACACGGTTATAAAAAAGCAGGTGGTGCAGATGAACTATTGGATATTAATATTGAGTGTGACAGTTTAAAAATCTAAATATATTGTTGGTGTAGTATATCATTCACCAAGTGCATCACATTGTGACTTCTTAAATGATTTTGAAGTAATCTGCGAAGAAATAAATGATACTGAAAACTGTACGGTACTGTTTCTTGGTGATTTTAACATTCACTACGATGAAGAATGCACATATGGAAAACGACTTAGGACATGTATTAATGATTACGGTATGAAGCAATTAGTTGAGGATTACACACACGTGTCACCAGAGGGAATAAAATCGTTGATAGACTTGGTGATTACTAATTATTGCGAAATAAAATGTGATGTTGTGCGACAGTATATATTTAATAGACATTCACTAATAAAGTTGACTATTCGTGGAAAAAGTAATCAGAGTACAAAAGTAGTAACTAGAAGCAAGTTAACGTCCATAAATGAATTCAAGAAGGAAGTGCTAAAGATTGCTGACAACTATAGTTATATGGAGCTCTTCGAAAACAGGTTTAATTATTTCTACGGAGAATGTCTCTCGGTGATTAACAAACTGATGCCCAAAAAAGTACAAGAACATAAAGCAAAATATAATCAATGGTTTAATAGACAAATATTAGATGCAATAAAAACAAGAAATAGCCTGTACAAGAAATTTGTCATTACGAGAAAAAATGAAGATTGGAAAGAATATGTAGCAAATAGAAATATTGTTAAACAACTAATCGGCAGAGTAAAGCTAGAATACTATGAGAGTAAAATAGATTTAAAAAAAAATAATCCCAAGAAAATGTGGACAACGTTAAAACATTTAATCAAAGCGAAAAATGAAAGTATATACAACGAAATTGAATTTGATGGAATAAAATATGATAATAGAGTAGTGATTGCACATAATTTCAATGAATATTACATAAATAGTGTAAAAAGCATTATGGGGACATTAGGATCAGATGATAATACAGAGATTCAAGAGAACCCAGGAACTGAAGTGTTTGAAAGTTGGAAGCTACTGGAAGAAAGTGAATTGAAGAATGTGTTGTTTTCTATGCCCTCGAAAGGGAGCCCAGATGATTTGACAATTGACTTACTGAAAATATCATATGAAGAGATAAAGAATATATTGATCAACATTGTTAACAGCTCTCTCGAAGAAGGAGTTATTCCAAAACAAATGAAAATTGCAACGATTGTACCTGTTAGAAAGGTGAATGGTACTATAAAAGCGACTGAATTTAGGCCTCTAAATACATTACCATCTATAGCGAAATTATTAGAAAAAGTAACATACTCACAGCTAACTCAATTTATAAATAAAACAAACATCCTGACACAATACCAGTCAGGTTTTCGACAAAATTTTAGTTGTGAGACAGCGTTACAGTATGTGCTCAGTGACTGGAAGGAAAGTAAAGACCAAGGAAGATTTACCATTGTTACATTTTTAGACTTAAAGAGAGCATTTGAGACAATCGATAGAAGGAAGTTAATATTTAAGTTAAAAAACTACGGTATAAGGGGAACAGTATTAAAATGGATAGAGGGATACCTGAATGAGAGACAACAGAACGTCAAATGCGAAGATGTGGTTTCAGAAAATAAGTTTGTTGAAGAAGGCGTGCCGCAGGGAAGTACATTGGGACCCCTGATGTTCGTATTGTATATCAACGACTTAGTCAAAGTAGTTAAATATGCAACGATACATCTGTTTGCCGATGATACTATGATATACATAAGTGGAATAGATAGGGATGATATAGAAAGGAAGCTAAATGAAGATTTGGAGAGGGTGCGAAGATGGTTCGAGTGTAATAAATTAAAAGTAAATAGCGACAAAACAAAAGTAATGATTATCGGGAAAAATATGAATTTTAAAATTAAATTAGGAAATGAGGTACTAGCAACAGTGGACAAAATTAAATACTTAGGTATAATAGTCGACAAACAATTAAAGTTCTCTGAACATGCTGATTACATATGTAAGAAAATAGCAAAGAAAACAGGTGTACTGAAAAGAACTGCAAAACATCTTTCTAAAGATACAAGATTGACCGTGTATAACACGATAATAAGACCTCACTACTGTTTTGCCGGCACTGTGCTATACCTGCTTAAATCAAATGATATAAACAGACTACAGAGGCTGCAGAATAAAGCAATGAGGATAATACTAAATTGCAGAAGAGATACAAGTATCAAATATATGCTAGAAACTTTAAAGTGGATAAAAGTGGAGGACATGTTGCAGATCAATGCCCTAATTTTTGTGCATAAAATTAAGTTGGGATTGGCACCAGAATATTTGATGAGTAAGTTGACAAAGTTTACGGAGGTGCATAATTATAACACAAGAAACAATACCAATTTTATGCTGGATCACAAAAAACAAAAGCTGCACAGAATTCGGTGTTCTTCAGAGCTGTATAAGAATATAATAAATTAACTACAAATGCAAAGGATTCAACGTTAGAAAGGTTCGAAAAGTTGTTGGTTGAAAAATATAGATGTGGAACAATGGACCAAGGACAGCTATAGGGACAACATTAAGTGCCAGTGATATTCGAGTATCTCATAAGTTGTAATGTGTTTGATAATTTGTTGTTGCGTTATTGTAAGGCTACATAGCTAAATAAAGGTATTATTATTATTACAAATATGACATCGAAAATTGCTATATATTTCTTAATAAATTTTAGGAAATTCTAAAAAATGAATTGCAAAAGGTTGGAAAGAAGTTCCATCAATCACATTTGACATAAAAGTCAAATAGAATTGGCACATCCATTTCATTCATCTGGAGACTTACCTCTGGTACATTTAGTCGAGAAGTGAAAAATAATGAAGACTTCGAGACTAGTTGAAAAATATGCCTGGATCTGGATAGCGTCAAACTATCTATGGTAACATAGTAACAAGAGTAACATAGTAACAAGATAAATTGCCAGATAATGATATTCCTTCTGAAGTTTTACATCCAGCAAGTATTCTAAGATCTAAGTTTTCACAGTGAAGATGAAGTTCAAAATAAAAAGGGTAAAAAAGGTATCATATTATCCAGTCAGTCAGTATACCAATTGTTTGTTTTAATACTGCAGGGTACTTTATTACCCAGGATAGATACGATATATTAAATTATATCATTGTAGGACAATGATTGCAATATTGTCACAGACTTATGAGCTCAAACATATTTCATAAATATAAATATAGCATATTTTATAAAGCTATAAAGAATAAAAGAACAATATCATACTTACTGATACGATCATAGTTCAAAATATAAAATAAAATCGAGGAACCAACAACCACTTGAAAGAATGGGGCAACTCCTACACGTTTAGGTTGTACATATTTGTGTTGCCATCTCCAGAAGGCTGCGAATAAATAAAGTTATTGATATATTCCAATTATACACTTGAAAATGTACCTCTACTGATTGCAGCTACCATAGCATTTGGACTTTTGTTTCTGCGGCCAAACCAAGCTCCCAGTTCTCCTAGTTTTACTTGCGCCAATGGAATATCCTCTAAAACATTTTAAATGATGAAAATTCTATTACGTAACACTTTCAACGGCAGGTTTATATAACTCACGCTTTCCATAAAAACGTGCTGGATCATAAGGTCCATGTTTCTGAGGATTATATTCAACTGGATAATCACCAAAACCCATAATTGAACCCACTTATATAGGTAAAATAATTCACAAAATCGATCTCCAAAAACCTGAAGTAAAGAAGTGTGAAATTAGTTGACAGTTGACATACTCATTTCCATATTAGTTTCATTTTACTAAATTGTAGCATAGACCATAGAATAAAAAACATTTCAATGAAAAAATTGTATTCAACCTGTCAATTCTCGGAGGATTGTATTAGTTCAAGGGCTGGCAGACATAATATATTTTCTAAAGAACAAAATGTGGGTCCTCTGGCAGTGTTCATATGAACCTTAAACGCCACCATATTCGCTAAGTTGGTCGGGAGGCCATTTACTAGCTATCAGTTGAAGAAGGTATCCATAAATGAGACTAACTCATCCTAAAGTCTGATTTTTATGTATCACACAATTATTTGCATAAAATAATATCTATCACTGCCGGACAGTGGCCGCAAGATATAATTTCCGCCAGACGCTTTGAAACTCTATTTTAATTGGATTAGGTGGACCTTATTTTTTAAACAGTTTTAAAACGTCTGGCGGATGCTATGTCCGGCGGAAACTGTCCAGCAGTAGGAAATATTATTTTTTGTACTAATAAATGCGTTATATATATATATATATATATATATATATATATATATATATATATATATATATATATATATATATATATATAAATCAGCCTTTAGCAGCGTCGGACTGGCCATACAGTCGTCGAGGTGGCATTTGCCAGCCGGGCCCCAGCCTGCGTGGGCCCCCCACGGGACCGGGTTGCGGGGCATGCGGTAACACAGTAGCACAGAGGACCTGCGCAGCGTGCCCCCTATGCTACGGTTGTCCGCGTGCATGTCTCAGATACTAAGCGTTTTACTAAAAATTTAAAAAGTCATAATTTGTAGCAAATTGCTTTGCCTACAAATTTGTTGCCTACAAATTTATATAATTCAATCTCTGACCCGTTCTAGTGGGACTCGACCCACGACCTCCATTTGTACGGAATGGTGCTCTCCGAACTGAGCTATCTAGCGGTTAAGTAAGAAACCTTACAGGAATCGGTCATGATTTCAAAGGACTGGGACATTTTTACTGAGGTAAGGTCACGGAAAAAAAACGCGTAAAATTCGCAATTTACGAGGTTTTCTAGATCTTGCTAAAACTCGATGAATTCGGAACTGCAACATTTATAAATTACAATTAAGAAACGTAACGTATTTATTCTCTCTCATCTCATAATTCCTATGAAACGGAACGCATCACTCAAGTAAAGAATCTTGTGATTAGGGTCGTTGGGAATCCCCGACGTGCGTTCGCTGCTCCTTGAGTCGCATTCCTTTGTTAAGTCGGTTTGCATTGCCGTTACCGTCGATACTCTAGTTCAATTACGTTGTTTTTAAATATTATACTGACTAACTTTACATCGAGAAACTTTACAATGGAAAAGGTAAGTTGTATAATATTATTTTTATTGCTTTCTGAAAAAAAGTTACTTTGGAGCTTTTGTAATCTAATATTATATACCTAAGTATTACTCAAATTGATATAATTAACGGTTTCAGTCACGTTCAGGGGCAGATAAACCTAAATCTGGTTCGGAGAAACGGAAAAATAGAAGAAAGACAGAATTACAAACAGCGGCTTCGAATCCAAAGCAATCCAGGCTTTCCTTCACGTTTACATCTTAAGAGCTTGAAGATCGTCAAAATCGGAGCGAATCACAACCAGGTTTATAGATTTAATTTAATACAATTTTTTTTCTAATTTAACAAATCTTTACATATTCGTTTCTTAGTTTTACCTATAGTTTAATTTTTTAGTTCCTTCTTTATTATCTAAAAATTTGTCAAAATTATCTGTTTTTAGCCAAAATTGCGCCTTTTTATATATTGACTTTGATGTATAAATTTTAAGCTACAAATAGGTACGGAATGTTTTAGAGAATGCTAAATTTTCTGAAATCTTAATGTATTATAAACAAAAGTCTTGGCTGATTAACTCATTAGTGCCCAGACCATACCCTTGAATGTAGATAGCTGAATTTTTGTAATGAAATGAAATCCCTCTACTCATATTGTAGACGAAAAACGGATTTTTATTAACTTTCTGTAACCCCTCAACCGATTTCAATGATATTTTGTGAATGTGTATAGCTATCAAATATTTATGCAATATTTTAGGACCCTCATCATCATCATCAATATTTGAGTTAGACGAAAAATTGGATTCAGTTTCGTATGCAAGTAATTCAGAGCATAGCAGCGGCGACTCTGCCGTCTAACATGTGTTTTGCGTCTGACACCACGAAAGAAGAAGGAGGAAGAAGTCCATTCATTGATGGCGTTACTCCATCCAAAAAACATATTTATGAGCAACTTGTCAAACACGAGGAAAGCCACAGTCATCAGTTAGCCGTAGTCGCCTTGCTTACAGAAAAAAAAAGAGGAAATGTGGAACAACATCTCACGCGGAAGAATATGCAAGAGATTTCCAATAGGCGTCTGGTCCTGAAAAGAATAATTGATATAATACTATTTATATCTAAACAAGGCATTGCCTTCGTGGAAAAAGTAAGGCCTTGTACTCTTTAGCGGATATCGCAGGCGACAACCAGAATCACGGACACTTTTTAAATTTAGTTGTCCTATTGTCGAAGTATGATCCAGTTCTTAAGGTCCACATGTCCGAGGCAATTACTGAAAGAAAAAAAAAAAGAATCAGGAAAAGGTAAGGGTCGAGGTAGGCTTATTACCTTTCTATCAAAAACCACTATAATTTAATAAATATATGTGCACTTCAAGTTAAACAAGAAATCGTTAAAGAAATCCAGGCGGCGAAATCTTTTAGCCTTAATGTGGATTCTTGCCAGGATGTTGGCGTTGTTGACCAGGATGCAATTTGCGTGCGCTATTTCAAGAGTGGGATCCCACAAGAACGGATGGTCAGCATGGTTCCTGTCCGGAAATCAACAGGAGAAGATTACCCAGCTCTCATAAGCAATGAACTAGATCTTATAAGTGCCAAAATTAATTTTCACACATTGTTATGCACATGTTTTGAACTTAGTGTATTTATTCATGAATCATTTAAGCGCACATCTCTATGGGTGGAGAAATCTTCAGAACTTGCAGCTGGACAAGACAAATTGAGACGATTACAGAATATCGGAAAAACAAGATGGTGGGCTAAAGACAAAGCCTTGACCACTGTTATGGAGAAAACTCGATATGTGGCGTTAATTAAAACTTTAAGGGCCATATCTTCGAGCACGGAGTTCGAGCCAAAGGTTTTGTTCCAAGCAAAGGCTTTGATGGATTATTTTTTGAAATTCGAAACTATCCTGACAGTCTTCACGTTAAAAAAATGTTTGACCTATCAACCCCAGTAAGCCAATATCTCCAAACCCCTACATTGTATTATCTTAAAGCTTGGGGATTCATCAAATATTTAGATATGGATTTACGAAGATATTTAGATACTTTTGATGATGTTTTCAAGCTGAAAACATTGAGCTCGACATACAAACCACGTTACCGTCACGAAGAATTTCTAAAAAACCGAAGAAACATGACCAGTTATGTGAAGATGAAGTAACATTATTGGCTACAGACCCAAAGAGATTTTATTCCATTTCTGTCTACAAAGTCATTATTAATACAGCTTCAGTTAAAATTAACGAAGAATTCATCTGCAACGAAGATTTAATGAAAGATGCCGCTTGTTTGGACCCGAAAAACTTCAATAAAATCAAAGAAAATGGGATTCCTAATGACGCACTAAAGTCTATCGCAACAATTGCAAATGTACTCCGACCCTGGCCTTTAGAATTTTAACCCTGCGTAGGACGCGGCCGATATGATAGGCTCACGCTTCGATTTTTTTTATGTTTCTCCGGTGTGAAGACAGGTAGTGGAGCGTCTGTCCCAAAAGTCATCTAACTTTTCCAGGTGAATTTAGTCCCTGAGTTAGTATGTTATCGGTCATCAAGAAGACTAGTTATTCACCATCTGTTCTCACAGGCTCACCTCGCCTGTATACGTTACAAAACCAATAAGCATTTACAACTTTTTGCTATAAAGAACATTTCGTGATGTTTTTGAGATTTTTGTCAAAAACTGCCAGGGCCAGGAGTACTACATTTCTGGCGAAAATGTCACAATCGACGAAATGCTGCCTTTCAGAGTCTATGCTCCTTTCGTCAGTAGGTATATACCATCGAAGCCGAACAAGTATGCCATGAAAATTTTTGCTCTCGTAGATTCGAGAATGATTTACACCCTATATTTAAAGGTTTGTTTGTGAAAGCAACCAAATGGTCGATACCAGTTGAGCAATAAGCCGAATGATATTGTTATGAGAATTTCAGGATCCGTGTTTCGAACTGGTCGTAATATTGTTACAGATAATTGGTTCTCTGATTTTTCACTCATCAATGAATTGAGAAAGCAGAAGTTTCTTATGTGGGTACAGTGAGGAAAAATAGAAGAGCTCTACCAGCTCTTATAAAACATAATATTATTCCCTTAGTTTAACTTCTGTAATGAATACTGGAGAATGACATTTATTTTTGGTTTTGAATAAAATTTACGCTATATTTTTCATTTTTATTATTTTCCTCATTTCTTTCGTTATTGAAAAGACTAAATTCAGAGTTTCAACATAACTCAACATTGAAAAATAAAATAAATAAATAATTTTCAATGTGAGCCTATCAAGCTCACCGTGCCCTGATTTTTCGAATCTTAGCCGCGCCCTACGCAGGTTAAACAGGTTACTGCCTGTTTACTTAAACAGGCAGGTTAAACAAATAATAACGATAGTCATAACCAACATTATTTGATTGACAACCGGTTGAAGTGGATTCAAGAATGGTTCAGATTCGCAATTGGACCCGGTAGGTGGTGCTACAAATCGAGTTATTGAAATTTTCGAATTAGAGATGCGTTACCAGGACAACGTTTGTCGGGTTCGCTAGTGTACTTATAAATTTCTAGACGGAGAGGAGTTAAAACAAAGCTTAATGAAATCGAATTGAAGAGTAGAAGACTACCAAATGTATGCCTATTCACCAGGGAATATCGAGTTGCTAAATTGCGTTTCTCTAGAGCTATAGCAAAAGTGTACTTTCAATAATTAGAAACAACTTTTATTTTATATGAATCATGAGCCAGTCTGAAATCATCACTTGGACGTTATCGCCTTTGGAGAACAACCCGAGTATATCTCTCACAATGTTCCATTTGTTTAGCCAGTAATATTCTGTGGTGCAATTTGTTGTATAGATAATTTTATATCCAAAGTATTGTAGAGGAGCGAGATATGCTAATTATTTATTTGTGGGATCAGGTAAAACAAGTATTTAGACGCTGTATATCAATTCCAAACTCATATGAAGAACTTGAAGAAGATGTGCTTGCTGAATGCAATTGCAGTTATTAAGATTATTGATAATCTTCAACTCAATCAATATTATGTCCAGACAAATGGAAGCCGTTACGAGAACAAAGGCCATATTCGATATTAATTTTATAACTAACGGTTCAATTTAATTTAGTTTAGGTACTCTAACAATTTTTGAGGCATTTAAATTTTGTCAATCTCTCTCTCACAACTATTGGAAGAATCAGAAGATCAGAACTCCCGCACGAATGATCCACATATAATAGAATATGAAGAAATCTGTGCATTAGTACTTTCATGAACACTGATGACCTTTCGAGAGCTTTTGATTGCTTTATGTTCGAATTTATCCTAAGCAAGCTGTATAATATTGGTTTCAGGTGAGTTGTATTGGACAGGTTGCAGTCCCTCATTGTTGTTCGTTCTATGGTGGTAAAGGTGCGGGAGTGTTGGTCTTGTGAGTACGATGTTGGTTGGGGACTCCTCCATGGGTCTATTCTTGGGCAGTTATTTTTTCTACTCTTCATCAATGATTTACCTGAGTGCATTGTCTCAGGCAGAATCACGATTTTTGCAGACGACATCTCGTTGGCAATTTCGGATAACACACCTAGGGACCTTTCGGATAA